ATGAAAATGAAGAGAATCGTTATGACCTTGGTAACCATAATGAAAATGAAGAGAATCGTGATGACCATGGTAACCATGATGAAAATGAAGAGAATCGTGATGACCATGGTAACCATAATGAAAATGAAGAGAATCGTTATGACCTTGGTAACCATAATGAAAATGAAGAGAATCGTGATGACCATGGTAACCATAATGAAAATGAAGAGAATCGTGATGACCATGGTAATCAGGATCAAGTCGTTGCTGTAGATTGGCGTGAATGGCTAGAAAATATTTTGGAAGTAAGTGAATGCCTACCCTTGAAAAATAACTATTAAACGCTCCTGCTTATATGCAGGACCTTTTTTCCTATCGCTTTTGCAGTTTTCGATAGAGGAAATCAGGGTACAAATTTTAAGTCCATATACTGCAAAAAACGAATTTGATCACACTATGATTGAATATATTGGAAAGGTTTTGATGGACTTGTAAGTTATTTTAATAGTAATATTTATAATGTTTGCTCCAATTCATATATAATATTAATGACAATTAATTGTTAGCGTCCACAAAATAAAGGATATTCCCGGTCACGTTATGTATATAGACGCTACTGAAAGAGATTGGATTAATAACAAAATACCCCATTATTTACTTTTCTTCAAGCAACATTTGTTAATAAAATACGTTTTCATTGGTAATGGTATTATTTAAGGTTTTCTTTATAATTTATAAACGTAATTACTTATGCACTTAAATCTATAGAATCGAACATGATATTGAACCTACGCATGAACGTCTTATTGGTGAAGGTAATACATCAAATAAAGACCGATTAAAAGCTGATATAGTTGGTGTTCGGTTGTCAGATAATCGCCAAGTCGTATTCTTAGAGATGGGTGGAGCTCCTACTGATTTTTTAAAAAACCATCCAATTGATGATTCTCATAAAACACTCCGGGAACGAATTGATTCTTTGAATGATATACTTTTAACTTTCCTTAACTATGATATTCGGTTTGCGCGGAAAATTCGCTTGCTAACTATTCAAGGAATTGGTAAGTGTTATTTTTATTAAATTAAGAGCAGATCACCATTCTAATACTTTTGTTTATTATGTGGTAGGGACCGTCTTATATTAAGAGAATTATCTCTAAGGGGTAAAGATGATTACGTAGATGAAGAAATACTATCGGCGGTCTTTCCAATTAGCTGGGATTTCCGCTTCCAATTTCGTGAAATATTTGATATGATGGAGTACATAATTCTGTCCATTACAGAATATCCCGATACCGTAAAAGAACTCTTAAAATACCCAACTGATTCACAAGAATTTTCTATTCGACATTGTATTGATGTTTAATAGATAGCTTTGCACAACAATATACGTTGACTTTGGAATATTAGAAAATTTATTAAAAAAAACAAATCGATTTACTGTAGATGCTTATTACCAATTTTATATACATTGCATCAATTATTAACATACAAATAAAGTATTTTGCTTAGCACATCTGAAATACAAGAGCCATTGAATAATACAATATATTTTAAATTTTTTCTTATTAGTTTTGAACAGTTGAAATAGCTTTGTAATATACTGTACAGTGTGATGCAAAAAAATTTTGGAAAAATTCGCACAATGTAAAATAATTAAAATTATAGGTTTCAAACAACTATAAAACCTGGATATTTCCATCCAAAGGAGGGAACCAAAAAAAAGAATTTTTATAATAACCTTTGAAAATACTTTTGTGGAAAAATAATTAATATTTTCTTATATTAATTATTATGGCATACTAAGAGAAACTCTTGTATTTATAAAAAAAAAATAAATAAATAAATAAAATATACTTGACAATCTATCTGAAAAAGAAATAATAATAAATAAATAAAAGAAATTCTTTTATTTTCTATATAAAAAATATAAAGAGAAATAATAAAAAGCAAGAAAGTTTTAAAAGATAAATAAAATTTATTTGAACAAAAATAAATTATATATATGAAAGAATATATTAAAAATCATACATGTGATTGTATTACCATAAAATGAAATTTGATTGACAATATGATTCCAAATTAAATATGAATTTCAATTATTTACTATATGTTACTTAGTAATTCTACCATAATATGGTTTTTAAAAAATAGTTGAATTTAATTTTATCACATGTATATTAAAAATGATATTTTTGAAAAACTTTTAAAGAATCTTTAAAGAATTAAAAAGATTTTAATTATATAAAAAATAAAAAAGAATAAAAATAAAAATATTAGATTATTAAGATCTGTGAATCTATAATATAATGGTTAGTGCTTTGCAAATTAGATCACAAGATACTAGTTCAATCCCATATAAAAATGATTGAACAGAATTAATATAGTATCTGATATCATAATCAGTTATATACTATTTTTCATAAGAAGTCATTTCATATACTGATCCAATATATATTAAGATTATAATCTTTCTGTTAAGATGTAGTGGTGTAACAATCATTCAATTAGTGTTACGATGATTGTCTAACATAAGGTGTTATCCATATATTTGGATATATAGATTGGATTGTTTCTATCTTAACTAACCCTTATTAACTTCCAAAAATAATTACTTATTTGGATATACAAATTGGACTGTTTTCTATCTTAACAAATCTATATAATACTTTCTTTTTCTGTTACTAGCAAATAAAAAAGCTTTGAAAGAAAGTACTAAATTAACATTACTGTCTTGTGTGACATGATTATCCCAATGGCTTATCATATATATAGAAGTTGTATCTTGCTTGGCATTTATATCTTTAAATTTGATAGCTTATATTAATCAGTTCTGAACTGAAGTATTTATTAGAAGATAAAAACTTTGGAAGCTTGTTTAATATGACCTATATAGTTTTTAAGAAGTTATACTCCACTTGACCACAAAAGCTCCTAGATTTGACAGCCAGTATCAACTAGTAAACCAAAACTAGAACATTTACTAGAGAATATATATTTACATTAAGACTTCTCTGCCATATTAGCTGTATAAGCAAAAAGATGTAATATAATAAGCAATCTTAGGAAATAGCAGTATCCATTGCCCTTATACAAAATTGAATCGATAAGTTAAATGATTTAAAACTAGTAATAGAATTTCTATTTCCTAGATAGGTTTTCCCAAAAAATATAAATCACTTTATAAGTATCATTAGTATCACTAGGGCAATAAGTAGATAGGCTAGCATTTAACTGTTGTAATAATAATAGATAATATTTAATATAACATAAATATTGATAGTTATTTAATAAAATTCTGTATCTAATGTTGTCCTACTATAATAAAAAAAAATATATATTAGATTGTTATAAAAAATCTAAAATGTTTTTTTATAAAAAATTTTATAAAAAATTAATCTTGAAATAAAATAAAAAAGAAATTATAAATGAATATTAGACTATAAAAATAAAGTAAAAGAAGTATTTTGCCAATAAAAGTAAAAGAAACTTTAAAAAATAATTTAGAGACAAAAGTAATAAAAAAGAAAAAATCCAATCCATCCAAAAGTTGATAAATTTGAATATCTTAAATTTTACTATAGAAATTTGAAGAAGGATTTGAAAGAGTCTTTAACAAATACTTGAATCTGATTGGCTAATGTTAAAATTTAAAATAAGTAAACAAGATTGTAAGGTATATAATATGTCACTACTAATATAAAAAGAAGAACTGTCCAAAAGTAACTTATTTTCTTAGAAAGCTACTTATCAAAAAAAGAAATTCAGCAAAAGATAAAAAAAAATATTTATATTATAAAAGTTAAGAAAATATAATTACTTAAGAAAACTTAAGAAAACTTAAGAAGGCACATATAAAATTAAGATCAAAATTGAAAAATAATTGGAGTTTATTAAGGCTAAAACTTAAAAAATCTTTAATAGAAAAAGAAAATAAGAATAAAAGATTATAAAATTATAAAAATACTAAAAAATATTAAAAAAATATTTTTATTAAACAAGAAAGAAGATGGAGTAAAAAATAAAATTCACCAGTATAAAAATTAAAAAGATAACAAATATTCTATAAATATTCTGCAAGAAGACTTTTTACAAGATAAAAGAAACAAGAAGTTTATAAAGATTATTAAAAGAATTGAAATCAAGTATTTGATACTATAGGAAATAACAAATAAAAGACCATAAAGAAAATTGAAAATATTTAATAAATAAAGATTTTTAGAAAATAATTTATTAAGAAAGTATAATAATAATAATTAAGAAAGATATAAAGAAACATTGTATAAAGTAATAGTAAAATAAATGTAAATAGATGATAAATATTAAAAAAATAAAGATTTATTATAAAAGAATATGACTTTATAATCTTAGAAGCCGATTTACAATAGTATGTAATATATATGTAATATAAATTGATAGATTCTTGATACAATTGATACAATTATTTGATGCAATTAATTGAGTCACTATTAAAATATATAAAATAATTGAGTCAGACACAATTATTTTTGAGGATTTTGGCAATTGAGTCAACAGCAAAATAATTTATACCACATGTATAGTATATAATATAGTTACATAATAAGGATATAAATTTAATTTGTATATAGCAATTTGTAAACAAAATAATAGTATTTATATAAGAAAAGCAATATAAAAAACAATATATAAAAATGAATTTATTAATAAAAATATTGTAAAAAAACTTGAAAAAGAGCAAAAAATAGGTAAGTACATAACAAATCACAAAAATATTTAATAAAAATCATTATTACTTAATAAAATATAAATAAGAAAATAAACTTAAAGTAAAAAATCAATAAATATATTATAATATTTCAATAATATAATAAGTTATAAGAAAATTTAAAATACTGTAAATTGTAATATGAGAAGTGGCAACACAAATGTCATCAATATCAGTTGCCAAAACATATTACGTACTATAATTAAAACAAGCCTTAATCAAATAATAGCTGATATTATATATGTGGTGGAATTGAATTCAATCATTTTTTAAAAATCATATTATGGTAGATTTACTAAGTAACATATAGTAAATAATTGGAATTCATATTTAATTCGGAATTGTATTGTCAATCAAATTTCCTTGTATGGTAATATGATCACATGTATGGCTGATATATATGAAAATATAGGAGGCTTTGGTAGAAAATATCACATAAGTAGAAAAAAACCAAGCAAAGTCATATGCTTCATCTCTGTTTGATAAAATTAATTAATTATATAAGATAAAGATAAAAACAATAATGTGTTATATCATAACTTTGTTATGATTTAATATTTTACTTTTTTTTTTTTGTCTATTTTATTTTCTTATTATCAATATTTATGTAATTACTGGACTTAATATATAAAAGAACCATGTTATAACAAAAAAAAAAATAGATTATTGGAAAGAAAATTAGTAAAATTCATTTTATAATCATAATCAAATTCACCTCACCTATAATAAAAACACTTACTTTCATTACACAAATTCTAGCTTTAATTAATAATAGACCTATCAATAGCAGTAACAATATAAATAAAGGCAATTTTATAAAAAACAAATAATAATATAAAACACAAATAACAAAAAAAAACCTACTAATCTATATTGTATATACAAAGGCAAACAGAAACAATAATATAAGGAAGATCAAAAAAAGACAAAATATAAAAAATATAAGAAAAAAAAAAGTAAATTAAGAAAATAGAATGAAAAAATAAGTAATTCTCGAATATAAAATAATATGTAAAAGATATGGAAAAAGAAATAAAATAAAATAAAAAATTAATCTAATAATAAGTATAAGTATATTATAAAAAAAAAGAAATAGATAAAGTATAAAAGAATTATTTATAAAAACTATAATCTCGAAAATTGAAATTATATAAACTTGCATGGACTCACATATATAATGGTAATTATGAGAAATAACAATTATATATATATATATTTTTATTTTTGGGCTAAGTGCAATACATGCGAAATTTTATTTAATCATTTATAGATTACATGGTCAACAATTATATTTTTAGTTATAACTTAATAAATAATTTATAAAAATTTATAAAAATTTATAAATATATAATAAATATCTTATAAAACAACTTTACTTAGTACTGTTTTAATCAATATATTAATATTTTTTTAAGGATAAATTTAATCATAACAACTTGTTATATAAATTATATATAACAACCTCAGAAATTTTAGGTCAAATAGAAAATTTTATTAACATCAATTTTATTAAATTTTATATTATTAAAAACTTAACATAAATCACGTGATCGAGTGGCTTAAATCGGTAATACAAAAAATTAATATATATAATTCCACAACAAATTTCTGTAAGCAGA